CAATATAAGTTTAAAAGCAGTTTCTCATCATCAGTTCTAAAATAGTGCAATGCAGCAGATAATCATGTCATATGTGTCAATTCCATTCTACTGGTCAGAGAAATGCAGGAATACGTCTATTACCCACACAATATGCAAGACGCTACTTGCACCCACCCACGGACTCACCATCTTGTATGACGCCACATACTCAGGCTTACCGACTAAGTGGAAACAACACATACATATTATAAGCCATTGCACATATCAGCTCAAAAGCATTTCAAAATATCCAAAGTATGTAACACAACATGCATATAACCATACCCCATGGGACATGGTGGAGCCACAACATGGCTAAACCGAGGACATGAAAGCTTACCTTGCAAGCTAACACCCAAAGCTAAGAGTCCACAGCTCAAAGTCCAAACACAGCAGATTCACAATCTATTATGGACCAATAATATATCAATAAACATGCACCACAAGCATACAACATTAAGACAACGCCTTTCCATTGCGTTTTACGTCTTAAGGCTTCACACAAGCCATAAGCCCTTAATCAATGATTCTGACTTACATTAATTAATTACAGAAGTTCAACTTCCTCAAACTAGGGTCCACAAACCCATAGATCAGTTCTGGATGAACAGTACGCTACTGTTCCTCGCAAACCCAAAATATCCGGATATTCCTCGGGGACATATCCGGATATCTCACAGGCAATATCCGGATATCCAATATCTGGATATCACTCTGGCAATATCCGGATATCAATATCCGGATATTCCACAGTAAATATCCAGATATTTTGCGACAGAATGCAGTTTCTGCATTTCGCGAAGATATCCTTCCAAGGTTCCATTTTTAACACTTCTAGAAGATTAAACATGCATCTTAAGGTTCATTGAGGTTCATATGACAGTTGGTTACTTGTTTAATTCATTAACATGCCAAGACTTCATCTTTAAGCAACAAGACTCAAGACCAAGGTTGGTACAACTCACCAAGGTTCAAAACAGAGGCAAAAAGGCTACTCTTGGAGCTCACACAACAGCTCCAAGGTACAGACTTCAAGGGTGCACGAAAATGCTACCAAACCTTGGCCCTTTCTTCACAAAGAAGGCTTCTTGAAGCTCAAAATGCCACAACAATGGCACAACAACCTCAACCTCCCAAGTCAGCAACCAAAAGCACTCAAGACAACCCACCAACTCATAAATGGAGCTCACAACACCTTCACCAAAGTATTTCCCACCCACCCAAGGTGTTTACAAGGAGAAAGTGTGAAGAAATCCAAGAAAAGAGGTGGATTGAAGGTGTTTCATGCAAAGGTGACCAAGGAGAAGGGTGACAACAGCCAAGCTCTCAAAATGTCACGTAGGAGGCACCATTTCTGACCTAGAGATGTGTGCCATGGCCTTATATAGGCCCACTTAAGCCATAAACACACAATATTAGCTTTAATTGCTACGCTTAGCATTTTAATCCCAAACTCAGGATTCTTAACCTACTCAATTTTACAAGAATTAACATATTTTTCTTATAATTTTCGGAGAACCTTTCCGGTACGCGCTTTTCATAGCCTGTACCAGTTTCTGACACCAGTTCTCATTATTTTGACTTGAAACTCGTTTTACAAGTCCTACATATTATTCTAGTAATTATCATGCACTTATTATAATTTTCCGGGATACTTTTTCGGTACGCATTTATACCGACTAGCAGAACCGGTATCTACACTTTTCTTCCGAAAAGCGACTTTCAGAATTCTTAATCACTTACTATAATTATTAAAGCCTCATAATAATTATTAGGGTCAATTATGGAATTATTTCCTAATTTCACATAATTAATTAATTAATTTCCTTAATTAACGGTGCAGGTTCTTACAACCAGGAGAGGCACTAAAGGATGGATGGCAATCAATGTGGACCTAGAGAAAGCCTACGATAGAATCGGTTGGGGATTCCTAAAGGATACCCTCCGAGACACGAGATTCCCTGCAAGCCTGATAAATCTTATTATGGAGTGCGTGTCCTCATGTACAATGAACGTGCTATGGAATGATGCGACTACACAAGAGTTTTGGCGTTCCAGAGGCTTGAGAAAAGGCGATCCACTTTCCCCTTATTCCTCGTTCTTTGTATGGAAAGGCTAGCTCACCTCATTTCCCTTGCTGTGGAGCAGAAGAAATGGAAGCCAGTGGTAATAAGAAGGGGAGCCTCGCCAACCTCACACTGATTTTTTAATGATAATCTTCTATTATTTGAATATGCATCTTGAGAGCAGGTATCTGTTATTCAACATGTCCTGTATACTTTTTGTTGCTCTTCCGGGAAAAAAGTGAACCAGAAAAAGACTAGAGTATATTTCTCTCGTAATGTGGGGCACACAAAGCCATTGAGTTGAATGTGTTAAAGTGAAATAATACCAGTTTTTCAATCTCATTGTTGTTTGAGCTACTGTCCATATATTCTTACCTATTAACCCGGCCAAGTTACAACCTGTGAAGTCCTTTTGATCAATTGATGCATGTGTTTGATTCTTCATTTTTAAGAATTTTTTAGAATATGATCAAGCTTATGGTATTGCTATTGCTGTGATGGATTGAGTGATTGTTATTCCCCCAAACACTTGAGTGCTAAGCGTTATATGTTTATCTTGGTGAGGGGTGTTCAAGCTAGATTCTGACATTTTCATGAGAATAGAAGGCATTGTTAGGAGTTCTTTGCATTGATTCAGTCATGCTTAGCATAGTGATGTATTGATTGTCTGTGTGAAGTTATGTTGGAATAATTGATTGTTTCCTGGATTGAGACTGTACATTGCTGGGAACAGCAACGTTTAAATCTGGGAATAGTTTGATGTGCCTCTGGCAAGTGTGATTTTTTGTGTTAAAATTGATAAGAATTGAGTCAAAAAAGAGCAACTTAAATACATATTTGCTAATTATATTGATTCTTTCTTTTCAATAATATTTTTCACCTATTGGTTGTGTTTATAACAGATAAAAGGAGTAAAAATTGCAAAATTATACAAGTCTGTTAACGCAACTTCACACGGGTGCAGCACACTACAAATTCCAGAAGAATGGCGCAGACCGGCACCACACTGGCGCGAACCCGCGCCAGTTTACGAATTTTGCGCCGGAGACTACCACATGGCGCTACCTAGCGCCAACATGGCGCCGCCTAGCACCAAAAGTGGCGCCACTAGGCGCCCAAAATACAAGAGAAAGTGGCGCCAAGTGGCGCCCAAAAAGGTGAAGAATGGCGCCAACTGGCGCCAGTTTACGTGCAATCAGGTCCGACTTTTCTGAATTGGACAGAAACGTGCCGCGAACCGGCGCCACACCGACGCCAACTGGCACCGGTTTGCGGGAAATTTGACCGTGCTGTGCGAAGGGTAATTTTGGAAGAAAGAAAAGAGGCTTATAAATAAAATCCTTATGACAGAATTAGGGATTCAGACTTATTCTACTGAGAGAGACGACGGCGGAGCTCCGAGAGGATTCTGAAGAGCAAGTTCTTCTTCTTCTTTTTTTCTCTTTAATTTTATGCTTTTGAATATTGGATTATTTTTAGCCATGATTATGCTTGGCTAGTTCTTTTTATTGTAGTTAGGGTCACAAACCCTATGTGAACCCTTGTTACGACGGATTGGTTTACTTTTACTCGTTTATATAAATTGTCTTTATCTCTATCCTGCGCGTATTTTATATTTTCTTTATTAGAATTGATCACTCTAATAGTTGATATTAGTCTGAGGGTTAGAACCCTAGATAGGGATATTGGGGTTTTCATCCTGAAAGGGGGTAGGAATAGATGTGTATTGAATTGCGGATGCTTAAATTATAGAGTTCATCGCTTAATTTTCATGAGGGGTTACTAAGGGATTAGGATTCCAATTGAAATTAAAGGGTTAAATTGCCAAGGGATTGGGATTTAACTAATTATTTTAGATAATAATTTATCCGAGTAGTTTTATAAATGAATATTGTAAATCAATCCAAAGTAAGAAGTGAGGATCTTAAGGTGAGTGCGCTCTAGCTACAATGTTTTTCTCGCATTTCAAAACATCAATTCTTATTTTATTGTTCTTTTTCTCAATATAAAAATACAAAAACAAGTCTTTATTTTTAGTCATCATATTCACACCAATTGACAATACTTGTGAAAACCGTTTAAACTCATCCATTCTTTAAAGGAATATTAATTAATATAAGATCACAATCCCTGTGGAGACGAACATTATTTATCACTTTATTACTTGTGCGATCGGTATACTTGCCGGGAAGCATCAAGTTTTTGGCGCCGTTGCAGGGGATTGGCGTTTCTTATATCAATTAATTTTGATTTTTAAGATTGGATTTTTCTTTTATTTTTATTTTTTTTTTTGATTTTTTTTTTGTGATATTTGAACAAGTGCTACTAATCTCTTTTCCAAGTTGTATGCCAGGTAAAGAGCCCGAGTTCCCACTTGATTTGGAGATCACAAGGACAGAGAAGAAAAACAGGAAATTTGCTCGGAAGAACCTTGTATTCAACGAGTTAGATATTCTGTCAGAAGAAGAATACACCATGGCAGGGAACAATGAAGAGGACAATCCGCTCATGGATACCATTCTGACTCCATTATTCAATAGACCCAATGCAAGCATTGTCCATCCTAAAGTGGGCAACAATAATTGGGAGCTCAAGTCTGATAATATTTGACTAGTAGAGAGAGCTCAGTTTGGTGGAGAGGTTGATGAAGACCCTCATAGGTTCATAAACAGATTCCTGATGATCTGTGATTCGACCAAGCATCCTCAAGTGTCCAACGATGCAATTCGGTTAAGGCTGTTCCCTTTTGCTCTTAAAGGAAAAGCTTTGAATTGGTTGGAGAGGCAACCTGCGAGAAGTATTCCCTCATGGGAGAATTTATCAAACAAGTTCTTTGCTGAATTCTTCTCAATGGAGAGGTACAATCAAATGGTGAATGATATCACCAATTTCACTCAAGTTGAGGGTGAAACTATGTGTGCAGCTTGGAATCGCTTCAAAGATCTAATGAGGAGGTGTCCTCATTACCCTATGACCAATGGTGATCAGGTCCGGATCTTCTTCAACGGTTGTAAACCGGCAATCCGGATGGTCCTGAATGGTGCAGCAGGTGGTAGCATCAAATCGATGAGAGCAAATGAGACTCTTGCATTGATTGAAAGAATGGCTGCCAATGAAAATGAAGGGTTGCCATCTAAGTCTAAGAGAGGTATTCTTCACCTGGACAATAATGATGCAGTGCTAGCTGAAAATAAATTGTTATCACAGCAAATGGCAAATCTAACATCGAGGCTTGACAAGATGCAACTCTCTAGTGTCCAAGCCCAAGCTGCTTCAGTAGTTTGTGAGTACTGCAAGGGTGACCATGAATCCAATGACTGTTCATCTATATTATCTTCTGACTCCCCTCAACAAGTGCAGGCGAATGGGGTATGGTATGATCAAAGATCTCCGCCACGAAACAGTCCGAGGAATCAGAATTTCCCTTCTGGAAATACCAATTTTCAGAGGAGAGGTCAAGGAGGTGGTCTTGATTATAGTTCTAACAATTATCTACAGCCTCCACCAATTCCAGCTAAGGAACCCTCTAATTTGGAGAAGCTAGTGGGACAGATGGCTCAACACTCCAATGCCTTCATGGAAGAGACAAGGGCCAATATACCAAGAACACACAGGCTTCTATCAGAAATTTGGAGACACAAATTGGCCAACTGGCTAAGCAAATTGCTGATAGAACTCCAGGCACCTTCCCTAGTAACACAGTCACCAATCCGAGGGAAGATTGTATGGCCATCACAATTAGAAGTGGAAAAATACTTCCATCTCCTGAGGTTAAAGAAAAGTTAGACACTGCAGGTGAGCCAGAAAAAGAAAAAGAAATTGAAAAACCTGCTGAAGTGGTGAAGCCAATGGAAAAGAAAAAGCATGAATTGAGTCCCGAATATGTGAGGGCCATGGCACCCTATCCTGAAAGATTCAAGAAGGATGCTCAGAAGCAACATTATGACAGATTTCTTGATATATTCAAGAAATTGCATGTCAACATTCCCTTTGTTGAAGCTCTGGCTTGCATGCCCAATTATGCCAAGTTTATGAAAGACTTGTTATTGCATTTTATTTTATATATGGAGAATCATTAAATGTGGAGAATCATAACCATACACCTGTCGTTGTTGTACGTAAAGCGGTTGCAGAAATAATTTTACCATATATATATATATATATATATATATATATATATATCAGGGGTGTTCATCAACCAATCCAAATCGATTCAAACCGCGGTGACCGAACCGAAAAACCAATAACCGAATAAATCAAAAATCGAAAAACTGAAAAATTGAAAAAAAAAACTGCAAATTTTAATTGGATTGGAGCGGTTTTAGGATGGGATGATGAAAACCGATCCAATATATTAATTTCCCTCTACCTACTTGGACTTTTCTCCAATCATAACCCAATAATTTCTAAACTCAAGAAAAAATCTAGTCACATTTTATCAACAAAATTTCATCTGTGTAGAGCTTCATATCTCATTGCCCAAAAAAAAACTATATTATCTTTTATTGATGTTTTCATATTTCAAAAATGATAAATTTACAAAATCAATATATACAAAAGATGTTATTTGCACAATAATTATGAAACTAATTTTAGGATTTTCAAAAAATCGAAAACCGATCCAATCCAAACTGAAAAAAATTGGATTGGATCGGATCGAATTTGAAAAAAAATCCAAACCGAATGAATGATTACATGATCAAACCAAAGGAATCGGATCGTATGATTTTTGCTTTCAAAATCGATCCAATCCAGACAGCGAACACCCCCAATATATATATATAGATATATATGTATATATATATATAGGGTTAATTGGATGTCAAGTCACTTGACGTAAGGATTTGTCAAGTTGAGGAATCATAACTATACAAAGGTGGGTCAATGGTGATAAAAGAAGAGAGAAAAATAAATATCCAAAATGACGTAATTTTAGGTTACAGGATGGTCAGTGACATGACAAATAATTAATCCACACACACATATATATAATTTTTACTTTCTTTACTAATTTAATATTATATTTAAATTTTAAATGAATATTTATTACTTGCTAAAATAACATTAATCCTATTATTTTGAAAATTAGTGTTACAAATCATAATCTCAGAAAGTATCTTTAAGTGAATAATATCTATAATTAATATATTATATTATTAAAAAATTAAAATGCTTATTACCAAAAAAAATAAAATGCTAGGATTAATGTTATTACACGATTTGTTAGGGCCATACAGCTGAACCTTGAAGATCGACCTGATATTCTATGCAGAGTCTTCAAGTTCAAATTGGATCAGTTGCTACATGATTTAAAAAAGGAAAATATTCTTGGCAGAGTCATTGCATGTAAGTATATTATAAACTTGATACTCTGTTTGTTAACTGGATTTTATACAAAAAAATTTACGTCATGCATTGAATCTTTCTATAACGTTGTTGTATTCTTATTATTACTTATGTTATATTCTTTGAATGTAACAGATGTTTGTACAATCGAATTTCAAAAGCGCGGACTACCTCATGCTCATATTCTTCTATTCTTGAACCCTTCAAGCAAAGCTGAAAGTGCTCTTGATATTGATAAATTGATTTTAGCGGAGATACCTGACAAGGAAACGAATCCTACGCTGTTTATGGTTGTCACGAGTTACATGATACATGGTCCATGTGGTCCTGAAAATTACAAATCTCCTTGCATGAAGGACGGACGGTGTTCAAAAAAATTTCCAAAAAACTTCTACTCCCGTACTTTGATTGACGATGATGGATTTCCTCATTATAAGAGAAGAAATGATGGGAGAGTTGTGAACAAAAATGGTGTTGAACTTGATAATCGTTATGTTGTGCCCTATAATGCACACCTTCTTTTAAAGTACCAGGCTCATATCAACGTTGAATATACTTGCCAGAGAAGTGCCATTAAATATCTTTTTAAATACATCCACAAAGGGAATGACAGAGTGACAGCTGCCATAAATCATTCGGACGATGAAATAAAAATGTTTTATGACTGCAGGTACTAAAAATAATCTCCATTGTGTTTTGCTTTCCTACAAAATTGGCACAATTTTTTTGAGAAATTGTTAACTTAAATGTTCACCGATTTATTTATTTATGATAGGTATGTCTCCGCATGTGAAGCAGCTTGGAGAATATTTGGATTTGACATTCATTCGAGATATCCCTCTGTTCAGAGATTGCCATTTCACTTGCCTAATGAAAAGAACATTATTTTCAGTGATAATGATTCGTTGTATGATGTAAAGACAAGGGCGGAGTCTAGACTGTCAATTTTTGAGTCTTGGATGGATGGAAATAAAAAATATCCAGGAGGTAGGCATCTAACTTATGGAGAGTACCCGACTGAATTTGTTTTCAAAGAAAAAATGCATGAATGGAATCCGAGAAAAAAAGGATTTTCCATTGGAAGGATAAATCGTTTTTCTGCCAATAATGGAGAAGATTCATATCTTCGCACCTTGCTTAATTTTCAAAGAGGTTGCACCAGTTATGAAGATCTTAGAATGATCAATGGCGTGGTTTTTACTACATTTAAGGATGCGTGCTATTCTTTAGGACTTCTGGATGATAACAATGAGTACATTGATGCAATTAAGGAGGCAAGTTCCTGGGGATTTGCTGCTTATCTTAGATGTCTGTTTGCTCTGTTGTTATTTGCCAACTCAATGAACAGACCTGAAAAAGTTTGGGAAAAGTGTTGGAAATTTTTATCCGACGACGTTGTTTATCGGCATAGGAAAAGAATAGGACGTCAAGGTACGTGTTATAATAATATTTCATACAATTCTTTTTTGTTTAACCGAAATCAGCATATGCTGCCTTAGTACTTATTAGCTTTTTTTGCCCGTATTCAGCAAATGTTGCTTTAGTGCTTATTTTGTTTTTTTTTTCCCGCATTCAGCAAATGATGCTTTAGTACTTATTTCGCTCTCTTTTCTTTCTTTGATTACTTTATCTTTGTTAATTTTTTATTTTTTTTTCCTTTGAATTTTATGCTTTGTCAGATGCAATTCTTACAGAAGAGTCTATAAAAAACATAACTCTTGAAGAAATTGATAAGGTACTGCAGAGCAATGGGAAATGCCTCTCTGATTATCCGTCAATGCCACGCATCAATAGTGAAACTTTGCTTGATATGCAAAATCGATTAGTGTTGGATGAATTAATGTATGACAGATTTGCTTTGGAAGAGGAGCATAAAAGACTAATTAATTCCCTCACTGATGAGCAGAAAGCTGTTTATGATAAAATTGTTTCAGCAGTTACGGCAGGTAATGGAGGGTTATTTTTCCTATACGGGTTCGGTGGTACAGGAAAAACATTTATTTGGAATACTCTTTCAGCATCTATTAGATCAAAAGTTGGAATCGTACTTAATGTTGCTTCTAGCGGAATTGCTTCCCTTCTGCTTCCTGGAGGACGAACAGCGCATTCTAGATTTCGTATTCCTATTCAAATCAATGAAGATTCAACGTGTAATATAAGGCCGAAATCTACTATAGCTGAGTTGCTGTCAAAAACAAAGTTAATCATTTGGGAAGAAGCTCCAATGGTACATAGATTTTGCTTTGAGGCTCTGGATAGGACACTGAGAGATGTTCTTAGAATTTCTGATTCAAGCTGTGTTGATATGCCATTTGGTGGAAAAGTTGTTATTCTAGGAGGTGACTTTCAGCAAATATTACCTGTCATTCCTCATGGCAGCAGACAAGATATAGTTCATGCAACCATCAATTCTTCTCATCTATGGTCCCATTGTCATTTATTAACTTTGACCAAGAACATGCGTCTTAATTCTGGAAGTAGCGCTCACAATTTAGAGGAAATAAAAGAATTTTCTGAGTGGCTACTTAAAGTTGGGGATGGTAATCTTGGAGATGATGTTGATGGAGAATCTATTATAACAATTCCAGATGAATTGTTGATTAGAGAATCGGAAGATCCGCTGTCGGATATGGTTAATTTTGTTTATCCGAATCTCTTGGATAATATTTTGGATCAGACCTTCTTTAAAGAACGTGTTATTCTAACTCCTAAATTGTCCGATGTTGCTATGCTAAACGAGCACCTAATGTCTATGATTCCTGTTGAAGAAAGGACTTTTTTGAGTTCAGATAAAATTCTTAAGCAAGGTGGGACTTCCTCTGTTGAGGATGATGAAATCACCCCTGAGATCTTAAATACATTATCATGCTCAGGGATTCCTGATAATAAATTAATCTTGAAAGTTAAAGTTCCAGTAATGCTATTAAGAAATATTGATCAGTCGAGAGGTTTATGCAATGACACGAGATTGCTTATTACAAAATTAGGGAATCATGTTGTTGAGGCAATTGTACTTACAGGAAGCAATATAAGGAAAATTGCCATGACTATCAACAAGAGTCAAGGACAATCACTTTCACATGTTGCAATTTATCTCCCTAAGCCTATCTTCACTCATGGGCAATTATATGTGGCACTGTC